CCAACAGGATGGCACTTAGGGAATTCGAGTAGAGAGTAGAGAAGCTCACCAAGAGCCTTAGAGACCAGGAAGGGAAAGTTTCTGTTTAAATTGGATGCATGCCTGTTTTATCTTTTCATTGCCAATTTGAATTTCCTGGTCATTTGTAGGGTTTGGCCTTAACTACCATATTGGCTTTACCTCCAAACTGGAATTTACTCTCTGTATTGTGATAACTGAGGTTTCTTATGTGGTTGTTATGTTTAGACTATCTTATGTTTATGTTATCCTGAACTTAATGGGAAAAATCTGTAAGCTTTTCTTCTTTGAATGAATATTGAGGAATAGAGTGAAGAAATAAAATGGAGTCACTGTAGTCAAGCAGCTTAATGACTAAAATCAAGTGTGTTGAGATGTGAGGAAACAATTCTTGTTTTAACTAGCCTGGGGAGTTAAATTTTTGAACTTTCCAGTCCTGTGTCAGTTTGATACATCAAACCTCCAGAAAACTCTCTGATTAGCTCCTTTCCTCCCAGAAGGACTAAGAAAAAAAAAATTCATGTATCTAGACAGCCTGACATCCATTATTCAGATCATCAGTTTTCTAGAGGATTACCATCTTGGACCAATCCAGAGGCTAAGAATGGCAGGACTGATTCTTCTCAAGAATATACTTTTTTATGGAACCATAAATGACCCCGAATAGCTGCAGCAATTTTGGGAAAGAAGAACAAAGTAGGAGGGATCACAATACCTGACATCAAACTTATTACAAGGGCACTGTAATCAAAACAGTCTGGTACTGGCATAACAAGAGACGTATAGATCAATGGAACAGAATAGAGAGCCCAGAAACAAACCCATGTCTCTATGGTCAGTTAATTTCAACAAAGGGGGCAGAAGCATAAAAGGAAGTAAAAATAGCCTCTTCAACAAATCATGCTGGGAGATCTGGACAGCTACATGCAAAAAAGAAAAAAGAAATTTGACTACCAACTTATACCATATACAAAAATAAACTCAAGATGGATAAAAGACTTAAATATAAATCATGACACCATGAAAGTCCTAGAGGAGAACATAGACAGGAAACTCTCAGATAGTCCATGCAGCAGTATTTTCACTGCTATGTCCCCTAGAGCAAGGGACATAAAGGAAAGAATAAACAAATGGGACTTCATCAAAATAAGAAGCTTTTGCATGGCTAAATAAAACATCATGAAATGAAAAGGGAACCAACCATATGGGAAAATATATTTGCCAATGAGACGTAAGACAAAAATTTGATTTCCAAAATACATAAAGAACTCACATGTCTCCACTCCAGGAAGACAAACAACCTAATTTAAAAATGGGCAAAGGACCTGAACAGATACTTCTCCAAGGAGGACATACGCAAGGCCAAGAGACGTATGAAAGCATGCTCAGCATCACTAGCCATCAGAGAAATGCAAACTAAAACCACAATGAGACACCACTTCACACTAGTCAGAATGGCCATCATAAACAAATCAACAAACAAGTGCTGGCGAGGCTGTGGAGAAAAGGGGACACTAGTACACTTTTGGTGGGAATGCAGACTGGTGCAGCCACTGTGGAAAACAGTTTGGAATTTCCTCAAAAAACTAAAAATGGAACTGCCTTGACCCAGCAATTCCACCGCTGGGATTATACTCTGAGAATCCCAAAACACCAATTCAAAAGAACCTATGCACCCCAATGTTCATAGCAGCACAATGTACAATAGCCAAGTGCTGGAAGCAACCTAAGTGCCCATCAATAAATGAGTGGATCAAAAAATCAGGGTGCAGTTACACAATGGAATACTGCACAGCAGAAAGAAAGAGCTACCACCCTTCATGACAGCATGGATGGAACTGGAGAGCATTATGTTAAGCAAAATAAGCCAGGGGGTGAAAGACAAATACTATCTCACCTACAAGTGGAACCTAATCAACAAAACAAGCAAGCAAGAAAAATATAACCAGCAACATTGAAAAAAAACCCCAAACCGACAGTAAGGAGAGGAGGAAGGGGGGTAACAGGAAAAGAAGGGGGAGTGTCAAGTCAAGGAACGTGTATGAAGGACCCATGGACAAAGCCAAAGTGGGGCAGGGTTGAGGGTGGGAGGTGGGGGTGGTTGGGGCAGGGGCAAGTGGTGGCAGGAAAATGGAGACGAATGTATTTGAACAATAAAAAAATAATAATAATAATAAATAAATAAAAGTTAAAATAAATAAATAGAAGACCTAAAAAAAAGAAAAGAAAATGTAGTTTTCACTATAACTCTCATTTCTGTTTTCTTCTTCAGAGCACTCTGAATATCGTCTAGTTGTGTTTCCGGTTTGCAAACCCTCATACTCTTGAATAAATCTGTATCATTTATTTCTAGCCAAAGCCTCCCGACTCTTTTTGGGTTTGCTCAACAATATATGCAAGTAAAAATATGTGATTATATTGCATCATATAAAAAACAGTTGAAAATTCCTTCCCCTTCTAAGAATCTTCAATATATGTAATAATAAGAGCTGACATTTACTGAGCGTTTACCATGGTTAGGTACTTAGATTAACTCATTTAGTCTTGACAATCCATGTGAGTAGGTACCATTACTGTTCCCATTATATAGATGAAAAGCTGAGATGCAAAAATGTTCACTCATACAACAAAGAACATAGTGGACCCAGGGCATGGTCTCAGGTCCAAAACCCTGGCTCTCCCCGCTACTATGATTCTGTAGAGGGGGAAAGTATTTTTTTCCTACTCTCATTCAATAGCTGGCAAAGAGAGATTAACAGTTCATGAATTGAACTGACAAATGACAAATTAACAGGTGATAAAATTTATTATGCATGCATGAGTGGGAGACATTTACAGAAAAGAAATAAAAGTCCAAAAAAGTGGTTAGGCTTGAGAGCTTATAAACTATTTTATTATTATTTTTAATTTTTTTTTAGAGAGAGGGGAAAGGAGGAAGAAAGAGAGGGAAAGAAACATCGATCAGTTGCCTCTCCCCCAGCAGGAATCGAAGAGGGGATTGAACCAGTGACCTTTGGCTTTGCGGGATGACATCCAACCTAGCCACACGGGTCAGAGCTTATAAACCATTTTAACAAAGGGTGATAAATTGTAGACCAATGACAAGACAAAGGAAAAGAGGTTTGGGCTTCTAGGAGTTGTAGTTGTGGGGAGGAAAATATATGGGGGAAATTTATGGAAGATAAGCGTTGTTTAGTAACTCTTGTTACACAGACTCAGGTCAGTGGCATCTCCAGTGATGAGTCAGCTCCTCCTCTTCCTGGGATGGTTGGTACCTCTACAAAGGGAAATTTATGCCCTGCTTTTAGGCAGAAAGGGAGAGGACAGAGTTCCTCAATTGCCTTCAACTTAAAATAATATTTATGCCAAAGGGGCATGTTTTGGGGTGGTATATTCTGATCCTTTTCAGTCTCATAACCCATAACACTTTTTAAAAGGTCCCAAATAGGGCCTGGCCCGGTTGCTTAGTTGGTTAGATCATTCTCCTGATATGCCAAGGTTGTGCGTTTGGTTCCAGGTCAGGGCACATAGGAATCAACCAATGAATGCAAGTGAGCAACAAGTCAACTCTCTCTCTCAAATCAATAAATAAAAAAAAAATTAAGTTCCCAAATGTTTATTGAGTCCTATTGTATATGTTCAGCACTATAGGATCTTCGGGCTGGATCCAGCTAAATATGGGAAGAAAAAGCTTCTCAGTGTCAGAGAAGATGCTCCTTGGGGATACGTGCCCTTTACATCTGGACAGAGTTTCTAAGTTTACAAGTGCTTCACACTCACTCTTCTGTCTTCTGTCTGATCATCACAAACAACTGTATGAGGCAGCCTGGTTCTCGTGTTTCTATTTTACAGAAAATTGACTTAGAAGTCAAACAACTTGCTCAAAGATATCCACTTGGACAACTGACCCCCTTCACTGCTACACACACACACACACACACACACACACACACCCCCACCCCCCCCCCCACCACCAACTCACTCTCTCACTCTCACACACACATTTGCTAGTGGAGCTGGTGCTGACTCATCTTGACTGGCAGCAGCCTAAACTGGTCCCCACCCATCTTTGTTCATTCACAGCAATGATGGGCTATTAGGCGGAGGCTTTCAAAGAAATTGACCTTCCCTCAGTCTAATACTGGCTCCTTATGTGAAGGAGTCCTTTGGAAAGTACCGGTCCAGATACTTTCCAAAAAAGTGTGTGGGTTATTGTGGTTAAGTTCAGCAGGATTTCCTGTTGGTGATTAGTTTGCTGCCTAACAGCCTCTGATAATGATTGTGTTTGGAAGAGAACTAAACTGCATCTCACTGAAGATAAGTCCTTAATTATTAAGATCTGTTATAAATCTATACCAGGGTCCCTTTTTCCAGAATCTCCCACAACACGAAGTTTGGCAGAAACGTGGGTTGGCTCTAACAGCCATTCCCAATCAACCTTTTTGTTTGCCTCCCAGTTGCAGAGGATAAAAAGTCAGCACTCAATTCCCCCAAACTTCTTTGTATCGAGAGGTGATAGAGGAAGGCTGCTAGAGCAGGGGACAGGATCGTAGGGAAGATTTTTTTTTCCTCCCTATAAAAGGAGAGTTCCGACTGAAGGAAGTTTTTCTCTTGCCGTTTTGGCCTGTTCTGCTTGGTGCTTTTGGGTGGGGTCATGTTAGGCTGTGGCTTGTGGAATTTAGGGGCAAAGGGAGAAGTCGGAGGCGGGAGGGGTACGGGTCATGCGGTGGAGCTGGCGAGAAATCGGATGGGCGAAGCAGAAACTCACTTCCTTTACTGACTCCACGGGCGCGGCCTGATGTAAATGGGCGAGGCCACAATCTGGGGCGTGGCCGATCGGGCCTTAGAACCCCACCTGTTCGGGGCGGGGCTAAGGCGAAAGGGTGGGGCCGCGCTCCCTCGGGGCGTGGTCTGTGAAATCTTAGAACCCAGGCTACTCGAGGCAGCCTCGAGTCCCCGGGCGCGGGGTTCCTCCCACGCAGCCTCCCATTCAAAAGATGCCGAAGGGGCGGCGCGGCCGCCAGAGCCCCACGATGAGCCAGCGGCCAGCCCCGCCCCTCTACTTCCCCTCCCTCTACGACCGAGGCATCTCGTCCTCCCCGCTCAGCGACTTCAACATCTGGAGGAAGCTCTTTGTGCCGCTGAAGGCGGGCGGGGCGGCAGGGGGCCGGTCCCTGCCCCAGGCGTCCCCCGCCCCGATGCCCCCGCCCCCGCCGCCCCCGCCCGGCCTGGGTCCCCCCAGCGAGCGCCCCTGTCCCCCGCCCTGGCCTTCCGGCCTGGCCCACATCCCATATGAGCCTCTGCGCTTCTTCTACTCGCCGCCGCCGGGGCCCGAGGTGGCTGCCTCGCCCCTAGCCCCTGGCCCCACGACCTCCCGGCTCTCCGCTGCCTCCCACCCCGAGGAATTGTGCGAGCTGGAGATCCGGATTAAGGAGCTGGAGCTGCTCACCATCACTGGGGATGGCTTCGACTCCCAGCGCTGTGCGTGACTTCCCCGGGGCCGCCCAAGCCCACCCTTAACCTGCTTTGGCTCCCTCCTTGGCTCTCTGCCCCCCATCCCCTCCCCTGCAATGTGGCCTCGGGCTCAGACTCCAGCACACAAGAGTCCCAGATCCCAAGTCGATCGTCCATCCTCGATTTCAACCGACTCCTTTCCCCACGGATCCTTCTGTCCCAAACTCCATTCTGAGCCATTTTTTTAAAAATCTGGACTCTGAGCCCCTTAAGCCTGCAACTTCATCCACCACAACCCCCAGCCTGAACTTTAAGCCTCCTACACAGCAATACTACCGCCCCTGGAGCTCTACCCACCACAGACAGCCCCTCCCACAAGAGGCCTGAGATTTAGTGTTGATCTTAAACTGGGGTCCTCGACGGGAGGTAGGGGAAGGCGAAGGTCAGTTGGAGTGTCTGTAAGGGGCAGGTGGGAATTGTGCAAGGCCCAGGAGGCCCATGGACATTCACTGAGGGACATTCCACTTCTCAATGCTGGAAGGTAGCTTCCCTGTGGCCTCCTACCCTCTACCCTTGTAACCCTTTCACCAGGGTTCTGGGCTGTGCCATCGGATTTTAGGATTGCAGTCTTAAGGATCTTAACCAGGGCAGACCAAGTATGCTTATGTAGGTGGGATTTGTTCCACATGCAAGCAGACTGAATGCTCCCTGTTGGAGAGTAAAAGTATCAAGTTCAGTTCAAGTCTGGTCCCAGAAGACCTATTGCACTGTAGAATATTCAGTAGCCATAGGCTGTTCTGCAGACTTTGTCTTTCCCATCAGCTGTTCCGATTAAGGCTAGCATTTGACCACTGGAGGAGGGCAGATAGTTCTAGAAAGACCATCTTCATTATTGTATAAAAAAGGTAAAACTGCCCCTTCGCCCACTACTGCCACACTGGGAAGGGGGTTGTGAAATAACCTAAGTGTGTAGGTCTATGTGGCTGTGGGTCTCTAATTCATTATACACCTTGTAATGCCCCCTGCCCCATAGCTATGGGAAGAAAACAATTCCTAGAAAATTCGAACTTTTCTAAGTCCTGGATTTCTCAACCACATATTCTCCATTTATGCATGTTTTGGCTATTAGGGATTCTTTTTTCCCACCCATGTTGGATCATAATGGGTTTGGGCCTCATGTAGGGAGCCCACAATTGCTTTAGCAGTGATAGAAAAAGCCTTATCTCTACCCCAGCTAAGTTTGTTTTACTCCCCCAGCTAAGTTTGTTTTACTCTCCTGCAGATAAATTCTTGAAGGCGCTGAAAGATGAAAAGTTGCAAGGACTGAAGACCAGGCAGCCTGGCAAGAAGTCAGCCTCTCTCTCCTGAGGAGCTGCCCACCGGCGCCTGGGTAGCCACCTCCTTAGGTGTTAGTGCTTAGATAATGTGTCCTGTTTGTTGTCATTTCAAAAATTGTTATTTTCTGTTCTGCATTTACTGCTGTTCTTGTTGCTTCCAGCAAGTATGCCACATACAGTGCCCACTTATGTGATCAACATCGTGGCCTGCCTCCTCTGTGCTGCTGCTGCGGAAGGGCGGGGGGCTCTCTGTGGGGTCTGGAAGCTGCTGCCCTGCCAGCACTCAGGGGCTCCCAAGACCAGGGGCGGGGGACTCCCCACCCTGCCAAGTCAGGAGGGAACTGGGGAAGACCAAGGGCAATACATAGTTGGTTCTGTTACTGTGTCCCTGCTCAGAAAGGCTCTAGAAGGACGGGAATAGTAGGTTTGTTTGTTTCCCAACAGTGTTAGTCCTTGGAAGTGTTTTTGTTTTTTCGTGGGGGTTTTTTTGGGGACCACAAAACTCTTTGATAATCTGATCAAAGCCACAGTCCTTCCTAGAAATGGATATACTCGAAAAGTAGTTATTGAGAACCTTCTGGGCTCTTGCAATTGGGTGTAGGGGAGACACAGATAATATTATAAATAGGTAAATGATAATATAGTATCATAGACAATAATGAAACTGGGAAAATGACCCACAGGCCTGTTGCCTCCTGCCCTGAAAGCCAAACTCTGGTTGAGAAGGAAAGTGACAACCTGAGGTGACACTCTGACAGGAGTGTCACCTGAGAGGCTCATGCCTTCAAAACCATCTGAGCATCTCAGGCATCCTGGCTAGGTTATATAGTGGAACAGCGGAGCGGGGGCGGGGGCGGGGGGGATTCCGGCAATGTGGAGTTTCTCAGCTCTGCTCTTGGGTGGTCTCATTGTTATCTCCTGCATGTGTCAGCATGTAGCTCCGCTGCTCTGTCTCCAGTTTTACTGCTGACATTCAGGAGAAGGACATGCAGGCAGTGTTTTCACTGGTTCTGATAGGAATTGCTGATGCTTGTCCAGGTCCTGTAGTCAGAGTCGTTTCCTGGCCGCGCAGGGACTGAAACTGCTGAAATCTACACATCGCTCATAAGGAAACTCTTAATACATAATTTTTCTATAAGTCTGTCAGTACAACCTATTCTATAATTATTTACTTGATTAGCATATTTTTTCATTTTCAATCACTGTTCCAATAACATACTAAGAGGGGAAAGAGAGCAGGATAGGGATAGTCAGGAGCGTCAGAGGAAAGCAGGGCGGAAATGCAAATACGGTTTCTTGGGGAGGAGATATTTAAACAAGGTTTGAAGATGGCCGAGGGTGACAGCCATGTGCCATCCTGGGAATGCTCCAGACTGGAGGACCAGTGCCAGGGCTGAAGGTGAGAGCCCGCCGCAATATTTGAGGGCCTGCTAAAAGCCCAGGCGGCAGGAGCAGGAGGAGGGAGAGGAGAGCGGAGGGGCTGCTTGCAGGGGGGTCCATTCATGTGGGACCTTACAGCCGTGGTAAGGACGCCGGGCTCTACTCCCGGTGGGGTGGGGAGTGGTTAGAGGATTTTCAGCCAGCAAGTGACAGGACCTGACTTGTGCTGTAGGTGGAGAACAGACTAAGGAAGGAGGCAGGGAAACCAGTTAGGAGGCTGTATTAATTAATAATTCAGACAAGAGAGAAGTGACAGTGCAGCCCCACCCGCCCTTCCCCTGTGCTGAGTGAGAGGTGTCGATGTGGCACCCGCCGCCACCACCCACCCTGCCCCTATTTGCAAGGTGCTGTCTCTATGGCGAAGAGGAGCAGGAGTGAGATCTCAGCCACACAAGCACACAAACAAAGGAGGGAGTATTTTATGAAACAAATCTTCAATCAAGTATAACATTTTGAAGCTTGGTATCTAGACACCCTTGTGCCTTTACTATGCCAGCAGCAACCGCGGATCGTGGCCAAAGGATTTGTGAAGGTTGCATTTCTTGCAAAGAAGAATGAAAAGGAGGGGCCAGTGAGTCAGGAGTGTCTGAAGCTGAGCATAGAAGGCGTGCAGGGCTGGGGTGCGCTCTGACAGATCGCGGGGGGGCCAGGTGGAGGCTGGCACGCCGCGGAGCACATACCCGACTCTGGGGGCCATTGACAGCCAGCGGCAGCCACTTGGCACCCAGCCAGGAATGTGGGCACAGTATCCGGGGAAAACTCCTGCTTTCTAAATCTTAGCAATGAATTCAAATGTTTCCAAACACAATGCAGGCCAAAACAACAACAAAAAAACACAACAAAGGCTGGATGGTCCCCCCAGAGTTTGCAACCCCCACCCACAGGAGTCCTAGCACCTTGGGGACGGATTCCAGGCCCTGCTTCCCCACTCGTTGCCCCAGGTTGGTCGTCATTAGAGCAGTATCCTTGCTCTCCCAGAAAACAAGGCTGGCGAGCCCAGTGAGGGGGGCTGGAGAGTCTCAGTGAGAATAAATCGGGCATCAGGAAAACCCAGTGCCGAAGCTCAAGTAGAGATGGAGTTACCTGGTGGGCCTGTTCCCCATTCCCTCCCGAGGGTCCCAGTAGCCTCCACTCCACCCCCCACCATGCTCATAAGACTGGGAACTAGAAATTGGCTGCAAAGGCCATATTCGCATCATGGAAATTGGCAAACGTACAAATCAGCGTTGTTCCTTTCCCCCTCCCTCCCCAGCAAAGAGTTGGTGGCTAAACAATTCCTAGTACACCACCAGATAAAAAGGACACAGAAGTACTACTTCATGCATAACCGAGCAAGGAGGGAAAGAAGCAGCATCCAGGGAATGTCCTGGACTCCGACCAATCAGATTAGCAACTTTCACTTTCAGGATATTAGACAAGGGTGGGGGGTAGAGGTAACTAGCCAGTAGGGGTGAGGCAGGAGACACCATAGGAAGAGCTCTGAGACTGCGCTACAGTTGCTGGCCAGCATCTAGCATCCTGGGTGCCAGGAAACGCCTTTTAGCACTTAGGTAGAATGAACAGTAAACCAAGGCAGGGAGGGAGAGGGAGACACGTCTCACCCGCTAACTCAGCAGTGCTGAGCCTGGTCTGATAATACTGCCAGGTGTTCCAACATCACAAGAAGCACCATGTTAGCACGGGAGGAGGGAAGTCCTTGAAATTCTATACAGCGTTTCCACTCTCTGGGAAAGAAAGCCTGGAAGCAGTGCTTTCATCCCAAGGCCTGGAATGCGGGAGAGGGTCCACAGTGCCCAAAGGAGCAGCCCATAAATAACTTGGGGTAACTGTCCCCATTTTAATTAACTGCCTCCTGTCGCATATCTGTTTTACAACAAGATGAACAAATGGAATCTGGAGCAAGAGAAGGATTCGGGCTAACAGACCCCGCACATACCTCCGCTTGGGCAGTCATATCCCCCAGCAAAAGCTGGCACTGCATTTACCCGTCTATCAATATATAACTTCTTTAATCCCATCTCGCCAACTACATAAATCCTCAGAACAAAGGACTCACTCTCTTGGCTCTCTGGCCACCTGGCCTCAGGTCACCTGGCCTCTGGCCACCGGGGGGATAGCCACCCTTCCTTTCGCCACCTTGCTTTGCCCTGCACCTCTGCCTTTCAGCGTCCCTCCCCCAACCCTAGCTAAGCACATTCTCTTCTGTGGGAATGGATCACTAATAACCTCTGACAGCATGCTAATAGATTTGCTGATCTGTAATTCTTTACAGGCATCAGCAAGAAGAACCAGGTCTCTCCTGTCAACAAGGAGAGTCCTGAAATCCATCCTCCACAGCGGCAACAGTTTTGCCCAAGATGGAAGAAGAAACCTGATAGCGCCTGTCACCCGCTATTTATATCGTGACCCTTTCATCAGAGAAATACAAATTTCAAGGGTGATAGGAAAACCTCCAACTACCTTATCCAAGTAGCCTGTGCCCCACTCTGTGGCCAAAGAGGTCAGGCAGGATCCAGTGCCAGCCAACAGGGAGGGGCCTGGCTTCTCAGAAAAGAAAGAGGAGAGAGCCAATCCCGCCTCGAGGCTTCCTGCCTCCCTGGTGAACACCACGTGAGCACCTCCTGGAACGCTGCCCTCTTCCTTTCAGCAGTGTGTTGATTGGGTAACCGACCAGGTCTGTGATCTTGGCAAAGTTGCCTAACCTTTCTGAGCCTGCGTCCTCATCTGTAAAATGGAGACACCGACTGCTGTCCCAGGATGGTTGCAGGTTGGGGGGGCGGGGCATGGGACAACAAGTAAAGTGATGTGAAACTTGCCCCAGTGGGGAGTCATTAGTATTATTTTCCAGTACCTTTAGGACACAGCCCACACTGTTGAACTGCTGGTACATGGAGCGGTGGGGACCACAGGATATGAGCTCCAGGGAGAGGCCTTGGATTTGCAATGCCCTGAGCTCGGCCTCGCAAAGGTGGTAGGGGTGAGCCTGGTGGGAGGCAGGCTGACTCTATTCTAGTGAGGGCCGACCACATTCCTCCCTGGCAGCTTCATGTTTGCCCCCATCAGACAGGCAGGGCCAAGGGCTCGACCTCTGTGGAGGCGATGCCCCAAAGAGAAGGCTTCAGTCATCATGCAGTCCTTTCGTCCTGTCCACTCTAGGGCATCGGCACATCCAAGAAAGTACCTGTGCAGTGGTGGAGGCAAGAGTAGTGGGGACCAGAGAGAAATCCAGAAGATGCAGCAGTGACACACAGCTGGGAAGTCACTGCTCTAGGTGCTCTTTGGGTTGAGAGGCAAAAGGAGGCCACGGAAACTAGCTTACTTAGAGAACAAGAGTGGCCAACAGTGGGCTCTGTGCCTACAAGCAGTAGAATCGAATGCAAGAAAAGCAGAAAAGGGAGTCCTCCGGGCCTGCAGAAGGACAGGCAGGACGCTGGGCAACTCAGCTGCAGCAAGCAGTCCTTGCAGAGGAAATGTGACTCATTTGGGCTACATGTCTGTGTCTGTCCCTGTTGGGGATGGCTGGCCAGGGTCCTATGACTGCAGCCCCGCCAGAAGCACTTGGAGTGGGGGAAGCCACTACAGACGAAGACACCGCCTTTCCCCTCGAGGGTTGAAGGGGCCAAACTTTAACACTAGGTCAAGCCTGGGCCGAAAACAAGAAACTAGAACAAGATGAAGGGAAGAATTAGAGCCCCCCTTAGTAACAAGATAGGATAATGACTGAGCCT